TGACATTTTGGTGAAAACTTGCATTTTAAAAATGTGTCGGGAGTAGTTCAGCATCTTTGAATTTGAATTTCAGTTTGAATTAAAGCTATTGTCATGGCTTTCTTTTTTATTTGGAAATGTGTCGAGTGAACAATACGTGTCCGATGAAAACTGAGTAATTCATGGTAAAATTCAAGACAATTGCACACCAGTAAGTCTTTTAGATAGTGCTTAAGTGCATGTAGTATATTCCAACAACAAACGAATGGACATGTATTGTTTATGCGCACATGTGGAAAAATGATATTTCAAGTCCGCTGAGCTCACGCAAAGTGTTGAAAGACCAAGGTTGTGTTTAGAATATACACATACATGTACATGTAATTAATCCCATACCAAAATGACTTTCATCCATTGGAATTTATCGTTATTTACGGTACATACACCACAATGGTGTGAATCGAAAAAATTTTAAGAAGTGGCCCAGTACTAACAGTAATTAAGTTGTTCTTATACACAAAAACAAATCTGCGTCACTCATACATGTACTTACTGATCGTTACTGTAGGTGCTACTTTGCAGATATATGCATGATGCTCTGCGCAGTTTCTTTTTTGCCAAACCTTGCTGTAAGGTACCATGAGCGTGCACTGTTTACTGGTGTCTAAAGACAAAACAGAAAAAAATACATGTTGCTGGATGAAATACTTGGGCTATGATTAGAAAACAAGACATCAATACACATCCGTTATTAATGATGACCACAGGTAACCATAACTTTACGCTGCAAAAGGTAAATAAAACAATTAAAGTATAAAAGAATGCAGACACATACATAAACCCACAACCGTGAATTGGTACCTTTATTTTAAAAAAAATGAAGTAGTAATATGAAATTAACTGAAAGGTTTAATCATGAGCTTCAATCAAAGACTGTTATACAAGAGCCATTGTTATGCGCGTATAACACAAGAGAAATCACCTCCACTTGGTTCAAATGTTCCCCAGTCGGTATATGTGACCTGTGACCCACCAACACCGTCCCAATGACTGCGCCCAGACGAAGAATCACGCCACAAACTGTTCCATGTCCCTTGAGCGCAAGTGCTGCTACCCCGTGACGAACTTGAATGAACATTTTAAAGACAGTTAATACCCATCTGTATATTTTCTTTTACACCCGTAAGTTTTGTTATTCTGTTCGGGTGTGATATTTGCCCTACATGTATGCTTGCAGATAAATCACATTCAATGGTAAACTGGGAAAGATTATCTTTTAACCATTGAGGTTTATTTCATGAAATGTATTATCAAAATTTCAAACGACGCCTAGAGATTAAAACTTTTATCATTATAAAAAATTTAAGAAATACGTCAAAACATTGTTAAAAAAATCTTTATTATTACAATACCCAGTATTCTGTAAGTTGAATGGAACTATAACTACAAATGATAAATAATCATATTGATAATACTTTGACACGTACCATTGTTCCTCCATCCTATTATACAGGTAGGTTTGCTCCAGTGAACTGTGTACACTAACCACCTTGGCTCCGCTGTGTCTATTACATTCAGTCCGTGCCTCTGAGTACGACAAGGCCGATCCTGGTAGTGGGGCAAGGAGGTAGCACCATCCGTTCCAATACTCAAAGTCAGGCGGGCAACTGCCTAGTGATGTATACCAAAAAATGCGGTTCATAAGTTCAGTTTAGGAACCTTGTTTATTCATTCTTTCCAACTTTTGGTATTTGAACGTCCCAGAGGTTCATCAAATAGTTGTCGACAAATTGTTACAATCACCCACATAAGTATAAAAAAGACGAAATGAAGAAGAACAAGTTTCCCGCTTGAAGAACGTTCTAACAAGAATCAGTATGTTATGCCAATGTTTGCTTACCTGCACAAAAGTTTTCCAACATGAGATGTAATAATAAAATGGCAATCACTTTCTGCAACATTCTGCTCATGTTGTGCTTCCTTGGAGGCCCACTCAAAATGATATTTTTCATATATGATATTACTATTTTATGAGCAAAACTGATATTTATCCTTGCGTTACTCATCAGCAGTTAATGAATAAATGGATGAATCTTCACTCGAATGTAGTAGACTTCGAAAACAAAGTATGCGAACTGAAGAAAAGGTTTATCATTTACTCTTTTATGGTCACTCTTTGCAAATCAACAATGGCACCAAGGATCATTCGGTACACTAACGACCATTATCAGTCGTGGCAGAAAGTCCTTCAGTGTCCGAGACCGTGTTGAAAAATTGACGTTCAACAAAGTGTATTCCCATGGTTCCCTAGGATTATCAGGACGTAGCAAATGACTTGTATACATGTATGTTAAAAGGAGAGTTGCGGGAATAAAAGTAAGAGATAAACACGAATTCAATATATCTGTAAACAAAACTTTTGCAAATTCATAGAACCATATCTTGTTTGGGATTTACCAAGATTTCAAAAGTGAAATTAGACAAGCTGTGTGGGTCCCTATGCTTACAAAAATGCATCTTGCTTCAGATAAACCTACTAGGTATTCCATAATTTTCAAAAACAATTTATATTATAGAAGTTTTCATTGGTAATAGAAATTCATTATAAATTTGTAACAATAGCTGAAAGGACCTATTTCTTGTACTATAGATCAACTTCATTTGTCCATTGCCAGTTGAAATCAGTTTGCTCTGTCCTCTCCCCTTCTATACTTGTCTTTTACTAGGTAAAAAGTTCATAGAAAGGGCAGGCCAGTAGAAATCAATATCGCACATAGAACTGAGAGACTTTAAAGACGTTATCTAATGTTTTCGTCACCATGGACAAAACCGTTTGTTTTGTACTCTTATCATGTCTGATCATGTGATTTGAAAGAGAAACAATCAAAGACACCAACAGTCTGGAAATAAATATGTTACAATGCACTAAAAGGGTCTTATCCAATAACAAGAGTGGAATGCCCATTTTCTTGAATTGTTTCATGAAATAATCAATTGCCCTGTCATTTATAATAGGGGGTACAGACAGGGGCGCAGTGCATGTAAACATAAAATGGTGAAATGAGGCATACTGGTCAGTTATTCTTTCCTTAATGGCGGCTAATGCAAATAAGAAACAAATAGGTGATACCAGTAGATCATGTAACTATTCTTTATTTCGTTGACAAAGCAAGAAATCCATTGACAAAATTAAAAAGCTTTATTATTTCGAGAAAGTACCTTAATTAAGTCAAGAAATCAGTGGATAAGTTAATAAATTCGTTGTGATAGGTGTGACATGAATGCGTTTTGCATTTGTATTACATATACACAGATAACTAGGGGAGACCGGGGTTAGTTGGACCCCGGGGTAAGTTGCCCCCCCCCCCCCCATAAATTTATGACAAAGTAACTATGGGGTAAAAGAATTGATCACATCATTTTGTAAAGTGACCGCATCCCATAGTGCTAAGAAAGCGTCGGCAGTGAGTCCAGATGATATAATTTAGCATCTTAAAGTAACTTTATTAAAGAGATTTGATGGGAGGCCAACTTACCCCGGGGTCCAACTAGCCCCGGTCTCCCCTACCCAAGAATAAGCACAATAACTTTAACAAAACATACCATGACGTATATTGTAATAATTAGAAGGTTTAGAAGAAGATTCTTAAGCTTAGGGCGCTGCTTTGTGAACAATCACAAATGCTTATTTCTCGACGCCGTTTAGTATTGTAAAACTTTTCTACACTACAAATTAAATAACGTTGGTCTACATGTACGTTATGTTATACTGAAAGACATCGTGTGCATGTGCCTTATAACCTGCCACCTGGTGTCACCTGTGACAATCACGTGACAGTGAACAGCACATGTCTGTTATACCAAGGAATTTTATCACTAAACCTCTTTGGCTATACTGAGATCGATTTTATGAAAGTACTGAGATTCACATAGTAGTTTCACGTTAAGGCCAAACTGTCATTGGCGTTAAGCCTCTTAAATGATAAATTGATAAATTGAAAGATAAACAACTGAATAGATAGTTAGATTTACAAATAAATGAATCAAAATCTAAACTACTTCCCTTTATTCCACTGAGACTGGAAAAATGTAAATCGTTAAACAACAGTTGAATAACGGTCGTTTTGTACGAATGTTAAATCTCTCTCTCACATGACCCACACAACTCTAATTGAAAGTTCATTGTTTTAAGTAATTGATAAGTTTCGCTGGTGTTTTAAATCTATGCAAACCAACCACTTCTTCAAATAAATTTTCTTGTACAGTAAACGTCTGTATTATCGATTTTTGTATTACTTTTATACAACACAGACCTTTGTTTCATGGTTTAGAGGTTAGGAGCATTTTCTTTGAAATTGTGCTGTGTCAGTTTTTGTGATTGTTTTCTTTCTGGATCATTACATAAGAAAATTACATAATTTATCGGCAAAATGGAAAATTGGATAACAATGAATTAAACAAAGAGTCGTTAGTCAATATCATGTAGCCAAGAAACGCCATGTGTTGACAAAAACAACTAATGTTGGAGAATAAAGGACTCGTCTTTGCAGGCGGTAAATCCTTTTCCTATATAGCTTACAGGGATAACAATTTTTCATATGAGATTAACAATTCCACAAATAAGATATTGTAAACAACACAAAAATATAATAAATTCCATTTTACCAAAAAATTTTATCTCAATTATTCTTAAATCTGTTCTTGCCATCGGGTTCAACTATCAGAAAGTATGGGGGAATCAGTTTTATGGCGCTTTTCCTTCCAAAATGAAGAGTTGTCATCCCCTTTTAAGGCTTAATTATATGTGACATGAAGCTTGATACTTAGTCATTCGAAAAATAAAATGATGTGTCAAACAAAAGACGTCAGTGCCATGTAAACCGGTGAAAACACTGTGCTTCAAGGTGGTCAATATCATCCATTGAAAACTTGAATAATAGCATTGTTAAGTCACGGCGGAAATACTGTGACTGCATGGTCAATTTTTTATCGATTTCCAATACAAAAAGCAACCTGGAAGCTTGTACAGCATTTTACATTCACTGTCGCGAGACCGCTAGAACCAGAGCGGTACGGAAAAGGAGGAATCTCTTTTCTTCTGGCAATTCTCTCTCAAAAACTGATTCTGAACCACCCAAAGAAGACCTGAATAACCGACGGTGAAGACACTAATGATGGCAGGCTACATGTCATTCCTGTTCACGGTACTGTTAGCAGTTTCCAACGTCGCAGCTCAGGGACCACCAGGTAATGCTTCTTTAACGATCGAACTAGGATTTCCTTTTTTTTTATTTTTTTCCTTTTTTTTTTTTTTTTTTTTTGAAAAATATCGATACTTGATTGATGAAAACATGTTTAGTTAAAGACGCTTTATAACTGGAAGACCATTTTTAGCAATATAGAACGACCTGGAAATGTCTTAATGTGGAAATCTGTAACTTTTTAGATCACCTCCCTCGAGTTTCAAAGACGGGGTTTTATCATATGTTGTTTGTATAGTTAATCACGTTTCTTTCAGCTTTTTTTAAAACATCGATGTTTATTACAATTTTAGTGTTACTAGATAAAGATTTCTGAACACCGTGATGTGGAAATAGACCATTACATATATAAAGTAGACAACATAGTTAGATACATACTTTTTAGTTGGGATTTTGTAACTACAGCGAAATTTTATATGGTACTTTCTACCAGAAATCCTGAGATCTGAGTGGAATTTGTGATTTCCTTTTTTTATTTTCCCCCCTTTTTAGGAAAAATATTGATACTTGATTGATGAAAACATGTTTAGTTAAAGACGCTTTATGACTGGAAGACCATTTTTAGAAATATAGAACGACCTGGAAATGTCGTAATGTGGAAATCTGTAACTTTTTAGATCACCTCCCTCGAGTTTCAAAGACGTGGTTTTATTATATATTGTTTGTAAAGTTAATCACGTTTCTTTCAGCTTTTTTAAAACATCGATGTTTATTACAATTTTAGTGTTACTAGATAAAGATTGAGAACGCCGTGATGTAGGAATAGACCATTACCTATATAAAGTAGACAACATAGTTAGATACAGACTTTTTTAGTTGGGATTTTGTAACCATGGCGAAATTTCATATGGTGTTTTCTACCAGAAATCCTGAGATCTGAGTGGAATTTATATAGTTTTATTACGCACTGTAACTTCCTCGACACTTCTTATACATGTAAGAAACCATTTGCATTGTCTCTATTTGTCCCCAGAAAAAGTGTCCTTGCTAAATACCTGTATCACGTCAGCTACATTTTCTCTTTCAGCGGGTCCAGTAGTGAAAGTTGTGGCTTTCAGGTGTGAGGGTGCCAGAGGAAAGGCAGCCATGTTGACCCCAGGGGCCACTTTGGGGGTAAGCTAGGTTCCTTATTATTTGAAAAGGCAGAATTGAAAATGAAGGGAGGGGGGCTTTCTGAGTGCTAATGTATATGTTCCGCCAAACCTGACACAGTTGTGAACAAATGAAATCTAAGATAGATAGTAGAATTGAGCAGATCACTAGTTTGATTTTGAGTGATTTTTTAAAATGAATTTTGAAACATTTTTCTCATGAATCGATAAGAATATGAACAATGAAATAATCATGACAGTTTTCGATTTTTAAAAAGCTCTCTATCTATTTTAAAGGTATGGAAACCAATTCTGTGGCATGAAAAAAGTGCCATTTTCTTAATTGCATTCATGTTACTTTAGTTGCAACAATTTAACTATGAAAATAATTGCAATGGAACGACTTCTCTCTGTTTATAAATGTGGAAGAAAATGTCTCTATGAAAATTTCTATAACACTTTTTTCGTAGTTTTGAAATACGTATTTGTTTACAATTACTATTTTGGCCCACAGCTTGTACATTTTTCGGGCATTTTAACCCAAGAAAAAAAATACTTTTGATCAAAATTTTTCGAAAAAAAGGAAACAAATCCAGATACTTCGAATCATACACACATACATGCACATGTCCCCATAATTCCCAATATCTTTACTGAAAAACTGGGATGAGATCACAAAGAATAAATAGCAAAAAATATCCAATATGCCTGTGATTTGGACCATTACTTGGTCAAACGCTGGTCCGTAGATGTAGAGTCCATGCTTGATATAATGTCGTAAGATTGACAATGACCGAAAATTTAAAGTTACATACACTATAACGGCAAGATGACTAGATCTGGCAACTCTTAAACGTATTTTTTCAGGATATCTGCTCTGGTGGCCTAAACTTCACCGTGAAAAATGTGGGCCAGGTTGACCTGTCTCCTCAGGCTCAGGCCAATATTACATTCTACCTAAACGAGGCGTGCCCGTCTGGTATCAAACAGTGTAACACTTCCCTGGGCAGGATTATGGAGGCTAGTGCAACAGGTAAGTTATATATTTTAGTTAAAACAGGAACTGCTCCTTCAATGAAAATCCAAAATAGCTTCATAAAAATGACAGAATTTTGTTGTCTTACATGCGAACATATTGGGTCTAATTTCTATAGGTGGTTGTTATTTTGGTTAAAGATTATAGGAAACAAAATATTGAAAATTGTTAATGAAGGTATGTGTCTTCAAGGCCAAACTATTCATCAAGCCTTTTCGTTAGTTGTGGTTTTATTCTTCCTTAAAGTAGTCTAGGATGATATAGCAGACGTTCCCTAAAGTGAAAAAACTTGGCATGTTGAAATTAAAAGATGAATACAGTTTGGACCAAATTTTGTCTCATTTCATCTGATTAATGCACAATCATTTCTGATATGTACAAAATAAATAGATAATTAATTCGTCTAATAGACATGATATTAGTTAATTCCATTTTGTCACTTTTTCTTGAATAAATTTACCCATTAGCTGATTTTAAACCTGAATCCGGCATCAATTGATTGTCATTATGAGCTTCTCAACTCTAGCTGACCAAATGGAGGTTAATCGATATCAAATGGCGCTAGAAAATAAAACATTGATTTTCCAACTATTATATATCCCTTTATGTGTTTGTGTGTTTGGTTGTTGGTGTGGAAGCACGGAGTGTTTCACAAATATACTTGCGTTACATTGACTGCACTTTTGCGTGCCACGTAAGGCAAAACTCGAAACAGTACGCCTAGTAATTCTGCATCTTATGAACTCCCAAGACTGAAAAGGAAAAAAGTTATAAATCACTTGTCAATTGAATCACAGCTGCTTTTTATTATAATCACGGTCGATATTTGTTATTGCAACATTTTAGCCACATCTTACTATACTCACCTCTAAAATTATCTCATAATAAAAAGTTATTTCAACGGGATTCAATTGTAAATAGAGAACACCTGATCGGGCACCATATGTATTAACTGTGAGTGTAAATGTCTGAGACAAAATATAGCCTATTCGTGCAGAGGGAAGGATATTAAATAGGCCCGTTTCCACTTTCAAAATTAAATTCCTCAACAATTTTCTGATCGTTTGATGACGCGTTTTAGGCTTATTCCCATTTTAAATCAGACCAAGTGGAAGCAGACGCAAAACAGTGACAGGGGCCTATTCCCTTTAGCCATTACTCCCTGTGGTTAAAAGCTAGGACGCATCAGTTTCATGGGCACTAATTATAAACAATACGCAGCTATCGTGCACAATAGCATCTCATTTGTCAAAAATCTATAGCCTCCATAATGTCATTGTCTTGATTGATTCTTTTATTTGCAAAATTTTACCGTGACTAACAACATAGAGAGTGTTTGGCAGTCAACGTTTGTTGCTCTATCTTTGGCATTCAGGTAAAACACGAAGAAATCAATACGTATCAATTATGCAGTTTTCTGCATGCATAGGCCCCTGTACTGTATGCCAGTTTATTTGTCAAGCGCAAAATGACAATATCACAGGTTTAATAGGAAACGAAAGATTTTATTGACAAGATGATATAAAATGGAAACAAATTTATGTATCCAGGACGACAGATGCACCCCCTTTCTCTGTCTCTCTCTCGGCAACATCATGCAACTTGTGTTCTCCTGTCCAATCTCCATGTCTTAGTTCTACCAGTGATTTTCTAAATGGTAAACTCTGCTTTGCGAATAAATATACCGCACGGTGTGCCCGCGACATTAAGTGTTGCCCAAATACTTGACTTGGCATTTAAGTACTTCTGAAGTAATACAGTGTGTGTCTGTTTCTGAAATATGTCTGTTCCCCTGTGAAAAATTGTCTCAATTAACGTTCACTTACAGTCTAAATCTATTCTAGAACATTTGGTGTATTATTTATTTATTTATTTATTTATTTATTTATTTATTTATTTTTCTAATGTTGTTTGGTAATGAATGCAACAGTTTGAGAACTGTCTTGGGAAGCCCTTCAGAATTCCTAGAACAGATTAAAAACATTGTTCTAGGACTGATTGAGAACTTCAAGTGAGCGTTAAATGAGACAAATTTTCGCAGTGGTTCACTTTATCATCTCACAGTAATATAACTTAAGTACAACTCAAACGAATTACATAAGCCAAACTACATATTATTTCAATAGTTTGCCAAAATCCACCTCCTTAAACTATTACAGACCATCAGTAGTTAACTAGATCAGAAAACCTTTTATCAATACTACATGTAGCACTGGCACCGGCTGACTTTCAATAGCAAAAGAACGGGAAACGAAAATTCCAAATTGCAAACGGATTAGGTCGACACCTCACTGTGGGGATCTGTAGAATGCACCGTAGATCATGGATAATGCAAATGAGACTGTGAAAAAATAGCAAAATTAAATCTACATTTTTGGTATTTTCCAGCACTGAGCAGCCTTGCAGTGAACGCTACCGCTGACCTGGATGTCTCCGCCGTCAACTTGGACAGCAGTAATAACCTGGGGCCAATACCCTGTGGACCAAGTAAGTACATTGTAGCATTGGCGGTTAATGTATGGTTTATGGGCACTTTCGGACTGGCAAATACAGGATGACATATGACCGATGACGTTAATGCTTGATGCTTTGATAAATCTCAACTTATAATGAGAAAATAAAATATAAAAATTGAAGAAATAAAAAATATTCGAAAAAATAGTTTTTCAAACAAATTTTCATTGAATTTATATATTTTTTCAGCGTGTATAACTGCCGTGGTATCAAATCCAGACGGTCTTGTTTACCGGTCAGTACAGGTCGTTCGCAAGTGTAACACCTCAGGTAGAGTGAATTTGCTTTTAACATGCCAAAACCTAAAAATAATTTTAGACATTGCACTTGCGTTTTAGGTGAATACTTTGTTTTTAACAAATATCGTAAAATTTAAATAACGTATATTAGATGTATGTGTGATAATTCTGATGGACATTCAGTTATTTTACTCTGTTAGCCAAATACAGTAAGAATTACGTAGACCTCATTTCAACTTTGAATTACGGCCACCACCAGTGGTTGACGTTTTATTCTTTTTACATTCATTCCCAGTGAGGCTTTGGAAAATGCATAAGTGATCTTTCCGGGTTTTTTTACTTGCATACTGAAATTAAGGTTCCTCACTTTTTTCTGTAAATCCGTTGTTCATAATCTTTTAGGTGTGGATCTAAGTATTGGTTTGAACCTCCGCGGTTTTGATCCCCGAGGAAATGCCTCCCTACGTCTGAGAACCGGCAGACCGCTGGTTGAGCAACTAATGGAAAGAAACATTCGTATGAAGGTAAAACAGTACTAAGCATATCTGAATATGAATAGACCTTTATGAAATAATTCAAGGAAAAGTCATTATATAATTTTTATTCAATTTAATGAATTGCTTCTTGGATGAAATACCATTTAATGTCAAGCAATGAAAAGAAACGTTGAATCAAACAACTGTCTTTAACTTTTCCAAATGGTTTAGGTTTCAGTAACAAACAACGGAGAAAGAGACTTGCTCCATCCATCCAAAAACATGCCATATGGCGTCTGGGTGTTTCTGCGCAAGCGCAGCAGGCGCCAGGCGAGGGAATGCATGGAAGGCATGCAAGGAATGGAAGGGATTGACGGCATGAGCGGACCTACGACCAACACACAACAACGGCCACCCCGGAATGAAACTGAACGTGCGCGGGATATGGACGATTTAGCGGCTGGACAGTTTGGCTGCAATGGTGACGACATGGATAGCGAAGACGTCATGATTGGACAGATGACGTTCCGCAGAGGTATTGCAGAAAGATACCAATTATAATTATAATAGAATTAATTTGTCAGACTCAGTTAAGGGTTAAAACGTTTTTTTTTAATAGCAGAAAAGTATTTTCATTTATTTGAGTTCTATGGTTTCTTTCTAGATTTGGCTTTATTTACTTATCTACTTCGTTCTGAATTTAGTTGGTGTTGGGCATCAATTGAAAATGTAGAGGAGAGAGGGGGGAAAGGAAAGCTTGTCATTGGAATGATTATAAATATCTTCTTATTTAGGAATTGCCGCAGGTGAAACTGTTAATGCCACAAGGAGACAAATGGAGAGTATTACCTTGGAATCTAAACCTGGACAAATCTTAGTCTGTGGTGAGCTACAAAATTATATGTAGGCCCCTATATTTTGTCAGGAATAAAAGTCTACACGTTTAAATAATGCTCCAGAAAATAATTCATTATTATTATAATAATAATAATTATTATTATATTTTCGTTAATTTCTATTCCACAGGATTAGCCGAGTTGATTTTCGTTGTTGATCCTACCCATGCTATCAAAGATGCGAATCGCTCTGACAACGTGTTTAGGATGCGCGTAAATATTACGTGCCGTGATGAAGGTAAGAAATATATGTTAATGAACATTTGGAACAAAATTGAACGTTTTGGACAATAAGATCTGCATTAAGGCTGTATGTTTTAAGGTAAAGCTGTGCACGTAGATATTCCTTACCAGTTTCTATACATTATTTATTAAACGTTGCTCTCTTTCAAAGATTTCGAGAACTTCCAAGAGGGCTGTGAAGTTATCCCAGACATTTCTAGAAATGGCCACCGCGCCTGGGTGCGTTTTGTTACAGCCCGCAGCGCACGAACCATGGTGATGGAGGTAAATTATGACATATTTAGGTCAAAAAATAGTTATCAATCTCAAACTTTGCGTTTTTACTTTTTGAAAATGGCCCTTTATACTAATTAATTTCAATCACATAAACTTTACTTTTTATACGTTTGTAAGGTAAAAATGAAATACTTCTATTTCGGCCTTCTTCTTTATGACTAATTTTTGAAGAAAGATATGATACAAAGCCCCAAAAATTAAAAAAAATATTGGGTGCATATAAGTATTGGTAATATTTGAAACAGTTTCGTTCTTGTTCCCGTAGGACGTGTTGTCGGGAGTTTGGAAAAATCTGGACGGCCGTGAAGTCATGGACTTGGTGAGGCTAGCTCGCACAAAAGCCATGGCCAAGGAAATTTTAAGTATTGCCGACGAAGATGGAGAAACAGACTGTATGTGTGACGGGGCAGACGATCAAGATGAAGTCAAATTTGAGCGCATGCTGGAGGACGTGATGGCGGAAACAATTAATGGAAGTAAGCTCATGGGCGACAAATTTGAGTTTGGTGATGTTCCTGGTGATCAAGATTTTGGGGGTCTACTGGAAGGCGTGTTTAGTAGAATAACGGGTAGTCAGTTCAGCACCCATATGCAGAATGCTATGAGCGGCTTTGGAGATATGAGCACATTTAGCGGAGTCAGTGGTATTGGAGACGCGCTCAGTGGTGTTAGCGGAATCAGTGGTATTGGAGACGCGTTCAGTGGTATGAGCGGAATGAGCGGTATGGGTGACATGTTCGGCATGGACGATCTCAGCAGGGACAGCAAGTCACCAGCCGAGTTGCTATTCAAGGCAGTCACGATGGGAAGGGACAAGTTTGCAAATATAACCGGAATTGGAGGTGAGAAAATGGGGATTTTCGGCTGTGTTTTTGACTTGATGCGCAAGATGGAGAGATTAATGAACGACACCAATAACGCAGAGGAGCTGCCGGGAAGAATCCTAAATCTGTTCTTCGACATCGACAGCGATCAGTGCCCTTCCGGCAAGAGCGTCTATTCCCAACTGCGCCCTTGCTCGAAATTCATGCTGCAGATGTACATGTACCTGAGCGCAGACGACATGGTGGATGTGGAGGTGGCGAAAAGAGACTTCTGCGGGATCAGAAAGGCCACTCAAATGCTGGCCAACGGTGGGAGTGCTCTGGCCAACATGGATCTCCAGGAGTTGGAAGACATGATGGTCGACATGAAAAACGGGACAAGTAAGGGATTTAAATTTTTCTTAGAAATTAAAAGGAGTTTTTTTGATATAAACGCTGTTTGTCTGTTTTTAAGAGTGACCATGCGAATAATAATTTGATAATAGACTAAAATTTAAAATATAGTCAAAAATATGGTAAAATTGATTGAAAAACTCGTTGTAAAGGAATTGATTAAAATCATTTGTCAAGGCACCTTTTTATGTCGCCTTCACTCAGTCCATTTTACACTTCAGAAAGTGGAAAGAGGGGCGAACTGTTCAAGGAATTGGGACTTGTTGCAGAAGAGGGTGGAGGTAAGCACGGGGTGTCTACTGAATAATACTGGAGGTTTTAATAGCTGAAATCATAACTTGACTCAAGGCAACTCTTCATCTCATCACTCCAAACATTTACTGTTTTAGCAACATTTTCATGAAAGATTCGTATAATTCCAAACAAACTCAATATATTGATTGTGTTTTTATTAATCAGCTTTTGGTCTTTATGTAATAAGATTTGTCTACGACCTGAGAATTGATTATCCAGAGTGTATTTATAATCGTTTCTGTTTCGGTGATAAATCTTTTTTTTTTTAGAAGCAGCTGTGAATGCAACACCATGCCGCGAGGAGATGGACGATGCCAATGCTATGGATGACATATTCGAAGTGTCGTGGAGAGGTATGTAAAGCTTCTAGGCTCGGTGCATATGGTCCATTCAGACTGCGGAAAGATAGCAGAAACTACCAAAAATCTTCTTGATCATAGATTATTTCATTTTATGCTCCCCCAAATAAAAATAAATAAATATGAATAAATAAAAACCTTGATATGACAACCACCCATTTCCAGTCTTCATTTATTGTGTCTGAAATCAGTGGTCTTAACCAAAGATTAAAAGCTGACACTGAAGAACGCAATAATAATCTGACGTGCCAGTTGCAACCATTCTTAACATTCAAATTTCAGTTAAAGACCGTATGATTCAGTACTGTGTGAAGAGCCCATTCCAAGCCATGGATCGCCCTCAAGGTATGAGGTGTAAAACAGTAGCCACGTGCGAGTGTAGAAATTGCGACAACGGCAATGGAGGTGGCTATCGTGGAAATGGTGGTTACGGGTTTAGCGGTAGTGATGGCGGTTACTACGGTGGTGATAGCGGATATTTCGGTGGTGATGGTGGATTCTTTGGTGGTGATAGCGGATACTTTGGCGGTGATGGCGGATACTTTGGGGGTGATGGGGGTTACGGTGGCTACGGTGACAGTGGAGCCGGCGACAGCGGCTATGGTGGTAGCGGACCTGGCGATGGTGGATATGGCGGATTTTCAGGGAAAAGAAAGTAAAAGAAAATGAATTTGGAAAAAAAAGTAGTTAAGTTTAGTCAGTTCGTGGATTTATCGAGTAAACATTTAAATAATTTTAATTAAACTTAAACTATTGATCTTTAAAATTACTAATTACTTTCTCTCCCAAGCTTTTTTACTCGTAACAAGAAACTGAATTCACAAAAGACCTATCTTTGTATTACTGGGTAAAGAAAGTGTTTCTTCAAAATGCGTGTAAAGCGCCGACTCTAAACTTAAAACTGAAGACGAAATGCGAGGATGAAACCAACAGTCACACGTTTCCACTCTTTTACTTTTATAAACTGCTTTTCTTTTAAATATCTTTATATGGTTTTCGTCAGAATACTATATATTGTGAAAAGTGGTTGAAGGGGTCGAGCATTTAATACTCTAAAGATAATTCCAGTTTGAATTTTTAAGACAGTGGTGTAAAGTGATAATTGTGCTGAGTTTTTGCAAACTGCTATTATCGTTCCAGCATCTTATCTGTGATATTATAACCAGACTCTTTATATGTATATAACAAATTAGGAGAGGTGTATTTGTAGGATATAACTGATTGCTTTCATAACAGAGGCAAATCGCAAAGCCATATGCAAAGCCGTCATTTTGTTTATAAGGCAATTATAAGACATTAATTAAATGGCAATAATATTGTTAGTGGTAGGAAATACCTAGTTAGCGCCTGCCTCTGTTATGGAACCAAATGTATATTTTGGTAATTTTACTTATATATTCAGACTTACTATGAATATTTTTAAGTAGGAATTTTACATGTATAAATATTATGTACTTAAACTGAATTTCTCCGAAGCTGTGTTAAACTGCTCAGTGTATAATGTAAGTTCTTTGTATTCATTGGGAGCAAACCTATGCACAAACGCAACTGAGAAGCAATTTACCAGTGTTTTACACGTGACTTACAAGACTGATTTTCATCATTTTTGAACATATTTAATAACTGATTTCCCATAGTCTTTTGTCAAGTAAACTGAAGGTTCAAATGAAAAACAACAAAGCATTCTGGATAATTTGCAAGTTGATTTATATACAACAGTGTTTTCTTATCTCATTATTTACAACTTCTATCATGAACATGGAGCACTATGCATACATCAATATTCATATATAACAAATGGTAAATGTATATATTTGGACTGTATGCATTCAGAACTACAAGAGTTCAACAGTTAATTGGCAAGTGCATTTTACAGCAGCTTTACCACTATACCCTATAGTATAATCCTCTCTCCACTGTCTAACAACTGGCTGAGGCCACACTTCACAAATCAATATTTTTTCCTCAGCAGACTGTACAAATACTGACTTGGGTGGATATTTACAGGCACAGTACATATATGAATAAAGAATTGTTGACACATGCATGCATTTACACTGACAGTGATGAAAGGAGCTAATTTTCAGAAGTCATATGGGACATTTCACATATTAAGCTCATGGAAGAATACTTAGAATGATAAAACATTTCATAAAGAGCCAGGTGTAAAAAAGTTGTTGGTCAACTTTTATAACTTTAATTCCTCCTCCAATAACAGTTAACATCCACTACAGAAATTGTTCTTAGGAAGGTCAAAAGCAATTATTCTTGAAGTTCGTTTTATATCTTTTTGTTCCTGGAAAAGCACATTAATTGCACTGGCTTCAGAAGATACTTAATATCACACACTCTTTTCATTATAGCAATTTGGATTTTTCCATCCTGGTAATCCTTGCGGAAGCCCTTTAAAAAGTTGTAAACATTTTCTGTAATTTCTGAAAGTCCAGACTCCCTTTCAAAGCTTTATATTAACATTATATATCTACATGCAAGTCTTATCTCACAGTTAAACATCATTAAATATTGCACCTGTGTAAGAAGAACATATTAACAATATGAATGGCTCTATTTTTTTTCCTCTCTCTTTTTCTTATTTTGCACTTTCAAAATGGGTCCTATGTCAACATTAGGTATGTATTCATACTATTTATTTTAAACATTCCTATTAACTCCCTGTGAGCTAAGAAAAACATCCAGTAACTGTTACACAGTTCAAGTGATGACTTTTTTCCTAGCTGAGACTTAATGGAAAAAACACATTAATAACATTTTCACAAATTAAGCAAGTAGCACCTTGTTTACATGAAGTCTACAAAGTTGGACATTTTAATTTACTTTCTTTTCATCTGTCCCCTTCACTTTAGGGTAATTTTTCCAGCCTTTGTATTCATTTGTTTAAATCATCAGTTATACACAAACAAAAGGAAAATGAGTTAAATTTCATTAACAAAGTAATTTATGAAGCACCAAGACAAAACACTACAAAAGATTTACAGTCACAATATTCATGAACGACATATCTAGCATGTAGCAGCTACATCAGCATTTCCCATCCTTTTATCAAACTTTAGTATCAAGACAGCAGCATGTGGCAAATTTTATGTGGCTTTAAATACCTTGTAACAAGGTATTGGACGAGGAAAAGTTTCTCTGATTTAGAATTATATTACATGCCGATTGGGTTTCCATCTAGGTCCATTTTCAGTTCATGACTGACAAGGTTCAACGCAAAAATCCTTACAGCAATTCACAACAATATTTGACATTTTCATACTCTCCAGCAATCACTACGTATCCCATGAATATTAAATTCATGGCTCCATAAAGTTTCTTTCAACATATTGCTATTTTCTAATACTATTCACTGGTTACAGTGAGATCTCCACATATAACTTGTAGTTTGAATGTGTTCCAGCTAGCACACTGTAATCACATACTAGTATCTCAACTACAGCATTTTTACTGTGCGGGTCTTTTCAATGGCCATTACAAACTACTAATCAAATACACTGAACCAAGTGCAGCAGCAAATTAGGGAAAGGGATATTTGCATTAGCCCATTTAAAATGTTTTAAAATTCTATCCAAAACACCTGTTCTGGGACCATATATATATATATAAATATATATTGACAGTTAAATCACATTTTCACCATAGCTGAACTGCATCAAGACAACCAACTATGCCTCCGAGGAGCCAGCATCAGCTTTACTTAATTTTATGGCTAGTTCCAAATCTGCCTGCTCTTGCTCTAATTGTTTTCTTCTGGCCTCTTCTGCTTTTTTACTTTCCACTGTTGCCCAAGCAAGCTGTGCATCTTCACTCTTTCCAAACTAAAACATACAAATATTAAGAAATACAGCCAACTGATCGACTTGTTATTTTTATGAGAGCAGTTACCATATAAATGCCTGTTAATCTCCTAATGCATTACTAAACTACCAGTTAGATATTTACAATTTTTTCATTTACATCATAAAAGGCTGATGATAAAATGTAAATTGTGGGGCTCATATTTATAGTAATAAGCAATTGTTAGTGATAAAACAAATGGCTTTGCTTGATCAGATTTTAACATAATATTATATATTCTGGATAGTGTGGATTTGCACTCTTCTACTGAAAACTAAACAATAAATGAAGAACTATTAATGACAATGTATCACTGCAAAAGAACATAATTCTTCTTCAAATAGGAAGAAATGATATGGTCTGAATCTAGCAAGCAAGCAGTAAAATGCTACTTCTTTGACTCTGTGAACCAAATCAACAGACATCAGCAGCTATTAGCACAGGTGACTGTGCCTGTTAAGAAATACAGTACGATCACTTTCAAATAAACAAAATCAATAAAATCTACTTTAAAAAAAACTAAATAAATAAATAAAGTTATTTCAAATTTTACCAAATATGTTGGCTCTGACTCCTCAAACTATGCAGCAATTGAAGAAAAAATTATTCAATCCCACAACTCACCAAAATCTACCCAAAGCTTAATTCATTCTTATTTAGTTTATCAAATAAGTTATTAAATTGACTTTAATTTCCACAAAGGCTTAAGCACGTAAATTCATCCAAATACTCAATTAAATATATATATTATCTCAACAAAAGGAGAATCATGATCTCACCTTCCCAGGGCTAAAGTCAGCAAAATTAGCAAATGCATCCATTCCACCTCCACCACCTGAACTTGCAAATGGGTCCTGACCTCCCGTGGAGCTGGCACCAAAAGGATCAGCACCCTCAAATGGGTCGCTGGAGAAGCCCTCGAATGTATCAGTCTTAGTAGCAGTTGCAGCTTTGCTACTAGTTCTAGGTGGCGCTGGTCTGGGAGGGGGCTGGCGCCGCTGTTTGGGAGGTAATGCTGGTGTTGGAGATTCCGACTTGGAGCGGGACGTGGGGGCAAAAGGGTCACTGCCAAACAAGTCTCCTCCATCCTTCTGAATTACAAAGTTAAGAATGGAGGCTAGTATGCATTGACGCAATTTTTGCTGGCAATGTAAATGCTGCTAATGAAAAATTTTACTTATAACTTACTTCACTCAGTTATAAATCTTAATCTGGTGAATCTTAACAATGAACACAAAATTTAAATATGACAGTCAACTTTTGTTATTATTCATTTAAACTTCTGTGTATAATTGAAGCACAACATTGTGGTGACTCACCCCCAATCCCTTTGAGCTGCCACCACCACCACCGCCACCACCAAATGGATCAAATGGATCGTTTGTAACTGTGAAAACAAGGAACAAAAAAAGTAATTAATTTTTCTTTTTCTTCTTCTTCTTTTTTTTTGTGTGTGTTAATTTAGCAACCAGCACGTCACATTTATGCAGTGATAAATTTAAATTTCATATGTTATTACTAATGTTTGTTTTGATCAGTACAGATGGGAACTTTTCAAATTACCTGGAGCAGCTGATGCTGGTCTGGCTGGAAAACTACTGCCAAAAGGATCACTGGAAGCTGAAAGGTAAAGATGCATTGCAAGGAAATTTACTAACCATGTCATTTCCACTACTGAAAAATATTTACACTTATTGCAATAGTTCTGAAATGAACAATTGTTCAGTGGATAAAACAGGGAGAAATTTCAACAAGAAAGATAGCAAGAAAGAAAGAAGACACAAACAGTGTACATGTAGAATGGCTTCTCAATTACCTGCTGCAGCTGATGCTGGCCTCGCTGGAAAACTACTACCAAAGGGGTCACTGCCACCAAATGGATCATTCTGTAACAGGAATACAGCTTCATCATCATCATTATTATTATTATTATTATTTTAATTATTATTGAATTATAACTTAACGTATGAGGCCATTTATATTATAACTTACATTCATTAAATTTCAATATTATATAAGAAAATTTAATAAATTGTTAAAAGAGGGGTAGGGATTGAAACACAAGATGGATGAATTTCTTTTTTAAAATCACTTGGCAAATATGCTTTGATGGCAAATATGCTCATTCTGTAACAGGAACACAGCATTACTATAATAATACAAATAATAATAATAATAATGATAATTTATTATTAAGGGATTATAAATTAATGTTTGTAGTCACTTAAACTATAACTTACATTCATTAAATTTCAATATGACAAACACAAAATATGAAAATTTCATAAATTGTTTAAAAAGTGGGTAGGGATTGAAATGCATGATGGGTGAATTTCTTTTTAAAAATCACTTGACAAAATGTTCTGACAGTTTTCTGATCAAATAAATAAAAGGAAA